ATCAATCCTAGACTATCGGAAAACAATTCGAAAATAAATTTTGGCAAATCGATTTAGCGAAAGCCCTGTGGGTGGAGTTCGGTTCATGAAAAAGGAAAAACTAAAACTGGCACCTTCACACTTGGGGTGTCAAGACTGGCGAAGGTGCGGAGAGGGGCCACCTTCTTCGCTTCTTTTTAGTGTTCTATTTTCTATCCTCTCTATCTCTTTTCTTCCGTTTCGAGTTTCTTCAGTTTGCTCTCTTTTAATGTCTGCGCAATTCTTTCCTCTGCTTTAACCTATTTTTATTAGTTTGTTTTATTCTCTTCTTCTTTTTTTCCTCTCTATTTCACGTTTCTTTATTCATTTTACTTTTATTTTTGTGCTGAGTTTTAGTTGCGTTACACCAAGCGCACTAGTTTGATTCCTCGCGATGATAAGTGGTCATCAAAACGAGTCGCTCGAAAAAGAACCACTTGAGCTGCGCTGAACGCGCAGCAAAGTCACAGCGAAAGCTAAAGAGTGGCCTTGCTTATCTTTTTTTATGATATGTGGCGTTTAACGTCCCAAAACCAACATATGATTATGAAAGACGCCGTAGTGGAGGGCTCCGGAAATTTCGACCACCTGGGGTTCTTTAACGTGCACCCAAATCTGAGCACACGGGCCTACAACATTTCCGCCTCCATCGGAAATGTAGCCGCCGCAGCCGGGATTCAATGCCGCGACCTGCGGGTCAGCAGCCGAGTACCTTAGTCACTAGACCACCGTGGCGGGCCTTTCTTATCTTTTTTAAACATTATGTAGGTCTGATACAAGCACGAGAAATTTCAGGGTAACCACCACGCCATAGATTGTCGGAATATTTAGGGTTGAAGATCCTTAAAGTGGCCCCCGTTCATCCCTCGTCATAGTACGTAACATGTATTACGCTTTGACATGCAAGGTGGTGCCGGTGAGAGATTTCTCCTGTGTGTTGTTGAACAATAAAAAATTCGCAGCGTGCGCGTTAACTAAAAGCAGAATTATCCTCTCTCTCATTCCCCATTAGCAGGCATTGGCATGTACATTGAGCACTATCTGACAAGAAAGGGTTGCTACGTTATACTCGCTGGGCGTAGCCTCCTTGGCTTTAGAAAGGTTTAGCGAGCGTTGGGCCGCAGTGCTATGAATACAGTGAACTAGTATATACCATGAACTCGAGGTGGCTAAAGGTGGGAAGTACACACGAAGCTCAAGCTGTAACAAAGTGTGCGTGTGCCACCTCTCGTTTAGTTCTTGGAATGTCTGCTGGATGGCGGTGCCTCTATATGCGGAACATATGATGGAAATATGCGAGATGGCGGTACTTTGAGTGTTGAATAGATAGACGAACGGACACAGCGACAGATGCATGGACGGACGCACGGATTGCTGCACAGACGGATGGACGCATGGATGGACGCAGGGGCGGATGCATGGACGAACGTAGGGATGGACGCACCAATGGACGTGTGGACGCACGAACAGACGCACGTATGGACGGGCGGATGGACGCACGAACGGTCACACAGACGTACGCATGGACGGGCAAGAACGAATGGACGGATGGATGAATACAGTGAACTAGTATATACTACGAACTCGACGTGGTTAGAGGTGGGAAGTAGACACGAAGTGCAAGCCGTAACAAAGTGTGCGTGTGCCACCTCTCGTTTAGTCCTTGGAATGTCCGCTGGATGGTGGTGCTTCTATATGGGGAATATACGATGAAAAGATGCGAGATGGCGGTACTTGGAGTGTTGAATAGATGGACGAACGGACACAAAGACAGATGCATGGACGGACGCATGGATGGCTGCACGGACGGATGGATGCATGGACGAACGCAGGGATAGACGCACGGATGGACGTGCGAACGCACGAACAGCCGCACGCACGGATGGTCACACAGATGGACGCGTGGACGGACGGATGCTTCACCCCACTCTCAATCATTCATCATCATTTTTTTTTGCCACACGGAGGCATTCACTACGTAATTCTTTATTCTTCTCAGAAGCGTGGTACCCGCTACGCGCTTGCAAGAAATTTTGTCCATATTTTGTGCTGCGGCTGACGACGGTGAAGCTTGCCTAAAGCATTGGTAATTGGATGGAGCATTCGATGACCCACTCGTTGGGCAAGTCCCATCGTGCTACGCCTGGTTGTTCCTTTGCTGTTCTAAAACGTTCTATGACTCATATTAACGTGAATCGTTTCCCAACATCAAGCCTACCTAAGGCCAGTTTGCAAACAATTCCAAGCACCGGCGTGGCTCAGTGATGGAATACTGATTGATTGATTGATTGATTGGTTGATTAATTGATTGGTTGATTGATTGATTGATATGTGGGGTTTAACGTTCCAAAAGCACCATAAGATTATGAGAGACGCTGTAGTGGAGAGCTCCGGAAATTTCGACCAACTGTGGTTCTTTAACGTGCACCCAATCTGAGCACACGGGCCTACAACACTTCCACATCCGTCGTAAATGCAGCCGCCTCAGCTGGGATTCGAACCCGCGACCTGTGGGTCAGTGGTGGAATACTGGGCTCGCACGCAGGGGACCCTGGCTCTGGTCCAATTGTGTCCTTGGTCTTTGTTATTTTTTCGTGCGGTAGTTGTTACGAACACCGGCGGCGGTGGTGGACAACAAAGGCGCACGTGACGTTTTGGGGGGATCTCATAACAGCTTTTGCTGTAACAAGTGAAAGAAGGCTTCTCCTCGGTGCGAGCGTGCGTGTTTAAGCTGCACATGGAGCGTTACGCTGAAAGACGACGACAGCACATGAGATCCCAGCACTTCTGAAGTGCTGTGCACTTTTAAAACATTGTTGACCGCTCGTTTGCGATTTGATGTCGAGGGAAAATTCGCACGGAGTGTCGGTATGTACTGCTTTCACAGTTCACAAAAAGTTGATCCCACATCGGGACAAAACGTGGGCCGTAATGATGGACATACATACAATTCTTGATCTGCAAGTGTTTTGCAGCGAAAGCTGCTATGTAGATTACAACACGGGTCGCGTGCGCCGTATTTATCCGCCGCCGTCGCCGGTGTCCTTAACGACTATCGTGCAAAATGAGAAAAAAACTTCAGTGAATAAAGAACACCGAGGAAACGATATAATTCGAGCCCAGGTCCCCTCAGTGCCAGCTCAGTATTCTACTGCTGAGCTACGCCAGCGCTTGGAGCTCCGTTCCAAAGTGACTCTAGGCAGGCTTCATGTCGGGAAAAAAATCGCGTTAATGTGTGCAATCAAGCGTTTAGAACTGCAAAGAAACAACCAGGCGTGACGCAATGCTAACTACGTAACGAGTGGGTGATCGAATGGTAAAAATTCCCCATTACAATAGCGCTAGGACTTATTATTCATCGTCAGCAACAGCATCGAAAAATTGCACAAACTTTCTTGCATGTGTAGTGGATATCGCGCTTCACCGAAGAGTAACGAAGGATGACATAATGAATAGGTGGATGAATGAGTGGATGGATGAAAGAAATTAATAATGTCCATTAGGTCGCGCTAGTGTCCTAGCCCGAAGCGGGCCGCTCCAACGTAGGGATCGAAAGACCTAGTCTCTCAGCCACTTCGTGGGCCCGTTGGACTGCACATACATGTGCCTCTAATGTATGACTGCGTAAAACTGTGCCCCATTGTTCTTCAGTATTTCCTTGTGGCCGCGTAACGCGAAGCAACGCCAGAGCGAATGAGCGAGATCTTCGCTGTCATGGCATTTATCACATGGTTTACGAACAAGAAACTCCGGACAAATCCTGTTATTAACAGTGAGTTCTGGTCTGTAATAGCCTTACCATAATGGCCTGAGCTTCATTTAGTTTATTGTGCGGAGGAGGGAAGACCCTGCATCCTAGATATAATATTTCGTTATTTAGTTGTGCGAGAGGAGGTGATCATTGCATTCTAAAACCTCAGCATCTTCTTGTTTTGTGGCTGCATGGTTGACGAGTACTCGTGCAGCATTGTGGGCAGCTTCGTTGAGGTTCACGGAGCACCGTTTATTTCTCTCATGTGAGCAGGAAACCAAATAATCGTGTGTGTCTTGAATGCAATTCCTTAAGCATTGCCAGAGCCTGTCTATAGATTACTCCATTGGTAAATGCTTGCACGGCTGTCCCATAGAATCGATGTGGATTCTCTATCTATTTGGGTCTAAAAGTGCCAATGCAATGAATACTTGCTTGGCAATTTCCGTTTATGTGGTGTTGATTGAAGCCGAGTGGACTAGCTCACCTTTACCGTTCCCATGTGCTGTTGTGAGAACTCATTTAATGGGTACGAAAGCCACATCGACAACCTAGCATTCCCCAGCCTGACTAATAGCTTTTTTCTAGCAGAGCTTTGGCTCTGGCTTACCTTCTGCTCACATTATGAAGGGGGTGAACATTCCTCGGAACTGAAGTAACTGTGATGACGTCCGTCATATAGTTGGGGATTTCTTTGTGGTTGATAGCTATCACTATAATTAGTATACCAATTCCTTTGAGAATGTGTCTTCCTGATTTCGTTGTGCCCTTTCTTATCTATACGCTGAATAGTTTGGTTATTGGAGTCATTGGCTTCTGTCACCAAGCCCAGGAACCGGATAGAGTCCATCCTTGGAATCACGCTTCTGCTCGTAATATGGGGTGTTATATTGTTCTCCTCTGTTAGAATTCCTCCTTTGGGTTTGCGGCCTCTTCACTTAGGTCTGTATAGATGTTCAGTTTACTTGTGTGAGCATCGGAGTCATGTGAGAATAAGGTACTCTTCCGTGACGTTTACAGCTTCTTGTAATTTTTCTTCTTGTAGTGTTGTGCGTTTACACTAGATGACCTTCTGAGTCATTGAACTCACAACAGATGGCGCCACTGCGCTCATGTGTATATAAACGATACTCGCTGATTAAACTGGGTTATTGTCATGGATCGTACAGTGGTGTAGCGTGGTTACTTTCACGTGTCGCCGTGCCGGCTACACGACATTCTGTCGACGAGGATGGCTTCCACGGGAATTTCGCCACCTCCTCATTTTCTGGCCACCCCCGGCACGCCCGATGTGCCATGGGCCCGATGGTTACGACTGTTCGAAAGGTTTCTGCTGGCGTCCGGAGCCAACGAGCTATCCGCACCCCGTCGCCGAGCCCTCCTGCTGCACTGTCTTGGGACGGAAGGACAGCACATTTTCGACGCGCTTCCACCTAGTACGACGCAAACCAAGGCAGAGACAACGAGTGCTGCACCCGGTGTCACGGCCACGCCAGATGCCGCCGCTGGAATCATCGGAACCATTGCACCTACTGGAACTCAAGACATGACCACGGAAGCCCTACGCCCACCCGACGAGTACGACGTAGCCGTTGAGATGCTTTCGAAGCATTTCGCCGCCCCTTGCAACGTCCGCCTTCAACGCCATCGATTCCGGGAGCGTCCACTCCAGGGTGAGCCGATCACTGATTTCGCCGTAGCGCTTCGGGAGTTAGCAGCTCTTTGAAATTTCGCCACTCAAGCGGAAGAAAACCTGTGTGAACAGTTCGTAGCAGGCGTCACGTGCCCGCGGCTACGAGAGCGATTGCTGCTGGAGGGCGATAACCTTACGTTCGATCATGCTGTCGATGTAGCACGGCTTCGTGAACAAACCCAGCGTGAATCCGAAGCCTTCACCAATCCTGTGCAGCGCATTCAGCAGCAGTTGCGAGACAGCTCAGCCAGGCACGATCAACGAAATAACGGCGATAATGGCACACGACTCCCGGGCCGTCTCCACTTCAGCTGCTCACGCGCGTACAGCGCACCTTCACCTGATATGAATGCCGCCGCCGCTGCTGTCTCCGGGCCTAGAAATGTAAATGCCTGCGGAAACTGCGGCGCAGCACGGTGTTCGCCTACGGAATGTCCCGCGCGCGGTCGCACATGTTTTGCCTGCGGACGCCGCGGCCATTTTAAGAGAGCATGTCGCAGCTACCGTCGCGGCCGAGAAGGGTATTCTGCAGAGGTCCAGGAAATCGTTCCGGAAGAGGATGCTACCAGTGTCATTAGCATCTTGGCGGTCCGTACTGAAAAGAGCACAGGCGTCTACGTGGATGTCAATGTCACGTCAGTTACCGCGACGACACGGGTGCGTACCATGAACTTTTTGGTGGACACAGGCTCGGTCGCGTCTATTATGGGTGAGCACCAATTCCAAGGCTTGTTCGCAAACGCAGCACAACTGACAAGTTCCCATCTTACATTGCTGGATTTTTCGCGCAGGAAGATTCCCGTTCTCGGGTCATTTCACGCCATAGTCACATACAAAGAAGCCATTGTAACTTTTCATGTTACGCCATGTGGTACATCTCTCCTTGGCCTGGATGCGGTTCAAGCCCTTTGCCTTCGCATAATGGGAGAGGAATTGCGCTGCCTGCAAATGTCCACGCAGGAATGCCGAGAGCTTCCAGCAATGAGTTCAGGCCTTCCCCAAAGCCCCAGGCATGAAAAACCCCTTGGCCCTCCCAAGTTTGGAATGCCACCAACACTGTGGACAAAGTTTGGCCACTTGTTTTTGCCTGGCCTGGGACTTGTAAGAGGTGTGCAACACAAAGTTAAGATGAAAACTTCCATCGCGCCAGTCGCACAGAAGCTGAGACCCCTACCATTTTCAGTCCGCCAGCCGGTCATTGACGAGATTGAGAAGCTACTTGCTGCTGATGTCAGTGAGAGAGTCAATGCTTCCGAGTGGGTATCTCCTATTGTAGCAGCCCGCAAAGCAGATGGTAGCATTCGACTGTGTGTCGATCTCCGGGAACCCAACAAAGCTATAGTAGCAGACAACTTCCCTTTGCCTCATATGGAGGAGCTGCTTCATGCCCTCAATGGAGCCCGCTGCTTTTCCAAGGTGGACCTGGCATCAGCCTACTACCAGGTTGTGCTGCACCCAGACAGCAGGGACCTAACTTCATATATAACTCACGATGGCCTCTTTAGATTCAAGAGTCTGCTTCGGGTTGGCATCGGCACCAGCTGCGTTTCAGCAGATCATGACGAAAATTCTTGGAGGTTGCAAAGGGGTCTTATGCTACTTAGATGACATAATAATTTTTGGCAAGACGGAGAGCGAACACAGGCAAAACCTGGAGCAAGTGCTGGAACGAATAGCAGAAGCTGGGCTCAAGCTCAACGAAAAATGCGTCTTCATTTCGTCGGAGCTGTCGTTCTTAGGACATCGCGTCAGCGCAGAGGGTATAGCACCGCTCCAGATCAAGATTGATGCAATCATCAATGCTCCTGCGCCTAGAGATGCAGCCACGCTACGCTCCTTTTTGGGGCTAGCTGAATACTATTCCGAATTCGTGCCGCGACTGGCAAAGCAAGTAGAGCCAATGCGTCGTCTACTTCGCAAAGACGTGCACTTCGACTGGGATGACGCTGCGAAAGAGAGCTTCGCGGGAGTAAAAAGACTTCTAGCATCCCACAAGGTCTTCCGAATGTTTGACCCGACGCTACCTGTCATTGTCGCAACAGATGCCTCTGCGTACGGTCTCGGTGCCGTACTGCAGCAAGTGGAGGGGTCCCATGTGCGTACTGTGGCATTTGCATCGCGGACATTAACAGAGACAGAACGAAAATACTCGGCCGGAGAGAGCGAGGTCCTTGCCTGTCTGTGGGCCTGCGAGAAGTGGCACGTTTACCTCTGGGGCAGATCATTTACTCTACTGACGGATCACCAGGCTTTGGTGGCACTGCTCTCATCCCGTAGCACAGGACAGCGGCCACTTCGTATTGCAAGGTGGACCACACGACTGCTGCGCTACGACTTCAAAATACAGTACCGCAGCGGAGCCCACAACCAGGTAGCAGATGCCTTGTCCAGACTGCCCGTGCCAGACACAGAAGGGGGCTTCCATGTTGATGAAGAGGTTGTGTCCTTGGTTACATCGTCTGTACATCGGGAGAATCTTCAGGTTGCTACCGCGGAGGATGACATACTACGGCAGGTAATGCAATTTATCCAGTCATCATGGCCAACAAGGAAAAGATTTGCCGCTGAACTGACTCCGTATTACGAAATACGAGACGAGCTCTCGGTAGTAGATGGGTTGCTTCTGCGCACAGAACGCGTTGTAGTGCCTGCCAAGCTAAGGGATACATTCATCCAGTTAGCTCATGAGTCACACCCGAGAATTGTGAAGACTAAGCAGCGTATCAGGGAGAAGTACTGGTGGCCTTGCCTTGATAAGCATGTGGAGGCCGCCATCCGGAGTTGCAGCGCCTGTCAAGCCTCGGACAAGAGTGTCAAGAACTGGCAAGCCCCACTACAGCCTGTCCCGCTTCCTGACAGGCCTTGGGACAAAATATCAATAGACATCATGGGCCCTTTTGAACGTGCACCGGCCGACTGTCGATTTGTCATCGTGATAGGGGACTACTTCTCCAGATGGCCAGAGATTGCGTTCTGCAGTGACACCACTTCTCGCACGGTGATCAACTTTCTGCTTGCTGTCTTTGCGCGAAAGGGTTACCCGACCGAACTAGTGTCAGATCACGGCCGACAGTTCACGTCGAGTGAATTCGAGTGCTTCCTTGCAGACAGGGGCATCAAGCATTTCTTCTCGGCAGTTTACCACCCTCAAGCCAATGGCTTAGTGGAAAGATTCAACAGGGTCTTGCAATCGTATATACAACTAGCTCTCCTAGAGCAGCGACCAATCAAGACCACAGTTATAGAGTACCTGGGTATTTACCGAGCCACACCCCACAGCGCCACTGGCATCTCTCCGGCAGTGTTGCTTCATGGCCGCCACATGAGGACATCATTAGATGTTGTTGGCCAGCCATCAGCGGATTTCTGCACCCATCCCGCCCGTGAACTGCGTAGACTTCGGCGTCGTGTCTGCGAATACCAACAAAGAAATAAGGCGTATGCAGACAAGCGAAGAGCAGCCCGGGAGCCCAAATTTAAAGTGGGGGCCTACGTGCGGGTGAAACGCCCGGTACCTGGAATAAAAGGCCCCCTAGTTTTGGGGCTCCACTCAAAATACTGAGGCGGGTAGGACGATGGTCATTCCACTTGGAGGACGGCCGTACCTCGAATGCCTCCCAACTGTCGGCTGTACCCCATGAAGCTGTTCACAAAGAAACGGGGGCAAGACAAGGACCGCTGTGGGCGGACATGGAGACAGACGGGTCGGCAGGAAACGCCACAGCACGAAAACCGTCCTCGAAGGCAAAGAGCCACATGACCCAAAATATCCCAATACAGGAAGCTGTACAGTCTCCGGGGGGGTCAGCACTGCCTCCTCATACGCCAAGCCCACCGCGGCCTCCACCAACGGGGAACACGACCGCAGAACTGGGTGCTGATCGTGCCGACGAACCAGAGGTCGTCCATCAGCTAGAAGAGCAACCGGTGCCCCTCCATCGCTCTACACGGGAGCGAAGACCACCAGAGAGACTCGGGGACTATGTGCAGTGACTTATTTACGGTGGAGACTTACTATAGTTTTCTGTCACGGGTAGTGACTGTTTCTTTTCTATGCACATAATCTGTGTTCTATTATCAAGGGAGGGGGTAGATGTAGTGTTGTGCGTTTACACCAGATGACCTTCTGAGTCATTGGACTCACAATAGATGGTGCCACCTCGCTCGTGTGTATATTGATTAAACTGGGTTATTATCATGGATCGTACAGTGGTGTAGCGTGGTTACTTTCACGTGTCCCCGTGCCGGCTACACGACACTTACAAATACTGCAGGCCCTACTCGGGCCCAAGCAGGAGCGGCAATACCATTAAAAAACAATACAAACAATTATGCTTACAACTATCCACAATTTAAATAATAAACCACAATCAAAAGCAGAAGAAAATGAACAAATAAATATGCTTCGCAATAACATACACACAACATTATAAGTGATAAAACGTGCACGTAAAATAATTCAACGCGTGAGATGAACACTACTCATAAAAAAGTTAACGCGAGAGTCAACTGCCACAAAGCTGTTCAGCATAAACATAACTTTACATATCAAACTAAAGATTGTTTAAAAAGTGAACAAATGATTCAGCAGTATTAGCATTTGCTACTTCTTCGGATAATTTATTCCATTGTGTTATAGCATGTGGAAAAAGTGAATACTGTTGTATATTAGGATTACGAAGCGGCTATCTGACTGTTTTGTTGTGGTTTGTATGACCAGACCGCATGGGGGGCTCAGTTATGCAGTTTTCACGCGGTATTTTGCAGTGACCGTGCTGTAGATAATATAAAAGTTTCAAGCGAGATACAGTTCTGCAATGACCTAGTTTTTTTTTTTCAATTTGGCACTGTCGCGAAAAACTGACACACTGGAAAAATGCGAGTATGTAGTGTACATAAGCCTCAAGGCCATGTTTTGCGCTCTTTCTAAATTCCTGATCAAGTACTTTTCGTGTGGGCTCCAGATCACATCCGCATATTCTAATTTCGGTCTGACGAGAGCTTTGTGTACAGTTAACTTTACGGTCAACGACGTACGACGTAATTTTCATTCCGAAAATGCAAGTCTTTTTAGCGTGTTGCTGCAAAAGTTTTCTATGTGTGTTTTCCAAGTTAAATTGTTTTTAAGTGTAGAACCTAAATACTTTATTTATTGCTTTTTAATGTAAGCATTATTAATAGTATAGGCAAGTTCTAGGGGTTCTTTTTGTTGCTAATTGTAATACATGCCGTCTTCGAAGCATTAAGCTTCAGTTCTCATGTTTCACCCCTTACGCCAATTGAGTGCAACGTATCATTAAGTTGAACTTGATCGGAATGGCATTTTATTGCATATGCTGATATTACACGTGGCTTTAAGCTGTGAAATTTTGACGAACACTAACGTCTGACCTCAGGGTTGCTTTGAGTGGCTGCTTTGCACTTGTTTACTTCACAACCTCGTCTTGGGACTAAAAGTTCGTGGTTACTAAATGGCTTCTTTCCGGCTACTTCTATTATTTAGCATTTAGATACGAAATGTTCCAGTACTAACAAAGCACACTGTCTACAGGGATTTATGTCCCGATTATCTGTGAGGTTACCTCGAAAGCCGTCACAAAAGTTTCAGTTCATAGCACAATCTCGAATATAGACGCAGACGGCCCCTGTGCGTATAATACTGTGTAAAATTGAAATGAAACACTTTCAAGCTAGGACGTTCTGCCTGTGTTCTGTCGAGTACAGTTTGTTGCACTGTTGCCCACGAAGAAACATTTGAAAACCCATGCGTTCTTTTGTTAAGTACGAAAACATTCCAATTTGCCAAAGCTAGAAAAGTGGCCACACACTTCTTTATACGAGATCAAACCCCGCGTTTCGGCGATCTCAAGGGCCACACCTGGGCTGCTTACACTGCCTAACGTTCACTGGCCAACGCTTTGGCTATTTAATATTCCAAACCAGCCGGGTCTCCTAATTTGGGTCGCCAGATAGGCGGGCCGGAAGCGGCCCACCTATGCCACGTGCTGTGCCCGACGCTGCGCCTTCGCGAAGCAGAGAAGCGGCAATTCGTATTCGCCGCGTGGTGCGCCCCTCACTTTATCGTCGTGTGATGGATGGTCTGCGCGTGGATCTCTTGGTGGTGCGCGGGCTTCAGCCGAGCTCCAGCGTTCCACGCCGGACAAGCCGCGTCGCTGACCGGTGCCCATCTTCGCTGTCGTAGTCTGCAAATATAAGTGAGCAAAGAGGCGCTATGAATGGCGTAATCATTTTTGACGCGTCTTGCTTAACGCATAACTCAAGTCACCGTTTCCTACAATCAAAACGAAAGAATAGGACAATCCACGGGTAGCAAATTATTTATAGCACAACGCTTATATAAAGCGTGGGCACATCATAAAACTGTACTAACACTCTTCCACTATTAAATTCGGATGAAAAGCAGCCTAAAACTACTCACTGCATATGACGGGGGGAAAAAGGCTAGAGCAGGTGTTGTTTATAAAGATATTTTTGAACTCGCTAGCAGCAAAGCTTCAACTATAGGTGTAAGCAAACATATCTCTTAACCTAACAATAAACAACGCTCCTATTCAACAAGTTCCTTGTTTTAAATATTAGGCGTCACTTTTGATGAACATTTAGACTGGCATGAGCAAGTACAGAGTGTGTGCGCAAAGGTAGCCTATGGCTGCTGTTCTCTAATAAAAGCTCGCCAATATTTTCCGCAAGCTATACTTCGCACACTCTACTTTTCATTGTGTCATTGTCACATAGGTTACTGTCTGGAATTGTGGGGTGTGACGTACAACAGTTATCTAAAAACTCTTGAACGACTTCAAAAGCGTACACTGAAAATCATAAGCCAAGGTGAATCAGTAAGTAATATTTTCCAATCACAATGCATTCTCTCGGTTCCGATGTTGCGTGACTACAAAATTGCCGTTTCAGTAAATAACATAATTAATAGAAATTCACCTTTGCCTGCTGATCTTTTTTCAATTCCTAAACGCAATACGCGACATGCTTCGAATGGTAATTTCAATCTGCCCAAATGTTTTAATGTTTACGGAGAAACACTGATACAGTTTAATGGAACAAAATATGGAACACGGTCCCCCTAGAGATTAAAACGGCACGTAATTTCAGCATGGCATGTAAATCACTTTTCTGTGGAGTCAAGGCATGTAAGCATGTGTGTGTTTGATTCGATTTTCATTGTATTTTTTTAAGTGCCTATGTATAGAAACTAGCTGCAAGCTAATAAGTATGCATATCTGCAGGAAAAATGTATTACTGCGCTATCTGTATCATATGATTGTTTTTTTGTTTTTTTTTGATGTCGTTACCTCAGAGCTGTCCTGTACACTTTTTTATGTTGCACATTGTATTGGACCGTCCACTAGCCACTTTAGGCTATCGGTCCAAATAATCCCTGTAATTGCATATATCTATTCATGAAAATAAAGTTTCATTGATTGATTGATTGATTGATATCTAAAACAAATCACTAGTCAGTCGTGAGCACATCTTTTTGCCTAATGAGTTTGGCGTTTCTTCATGATAAATGGTCTTTAGTTATTTTATCAGTACTTTCACCTTAAGAATTGCTGAACAACATATTTCATTTTCTTGTACGATTTCATTGCGGTTGTCTTTTACCGTATGCTCTTATTTCAGCTTTGTAAAGGCGTTGCCTATAAAAATGACATGAAAAACCATCTGAAGCGCCCAACATGTTGATTACTCAGAGGAACGCGGTGTCTGACTTCAGTGTTAATGCTGCAGGGGTGTCGTCAAAAGACCTACACGATGTTAATACATACCTGAAACGTAAGCATACGTGGATGCTATTTAGCTAGAAATTCTACGAAGGATATGTACCTTCTTCGAAAAGCGGACTACCGCCGCGTTTCATGTCAGCCAACAAAGAGAGCTTTCCTTGGGGGCTGCCGTGGCCAATCTCCACAATAGCTCTGTAAAACGAGAGAACACCAGCAGCTATTGTTTTTTTATTTTGCAGCTATTCACATTTAGTGCAGTTCGTTTACATAAAATTAAGAAGAAGGTTCATGAAACTTGAGAATAAAAGTATCAAGCTTTGTAATATCACCCTTCACTACGCAGTGTTTTAGCGAAACTTATGCTCAGTAAATCAAGTATATGCGGCATCCAACAACCGCTCTTTGAAAGAGCAATGCGTAAGGTAACTCTGGTGCCAGCGTTGAGGACGTTCAGGTGAAGCTACGCAAATGCATGTAATTTGAAAGAATAATTAGAGTTAAGTTGACTAGAAGATGCTAACGAGCGTATACGATTCATTGATTTGCTGACTGTTTGATTGCTCGACATGACATGTTTAAAACGCACACTGTGAAACGACATCTAAGGTGTATAATTCCGTGGTTAGCACGTTTTACACCTATACTTATACTCGGAATTCTCAACGGCACTACAGTCACCGAAAAATTTTGATCAGCTGTAGAGAGAGCTCAACGCACAACCACAAGGCATCGTCAGGAAAGCTCAGATTGTTGCGACATGAAATCATTTTTATCAATCAGGCAAACATACAAAATGTTTCCATATATTGGTGTAAGTTCGGCAGCTAATACTAATTCGTTCATGTAGGTCTCTCAATACAACAAACTATTTGTCTGCGTAATTCGCTTCGAGAAAAATTAACCATTGGAGAAACAGGTTACGAGTTGAGAATGTTTCAGCAAATTTTCGCGTTATAATATCTGAGTGCGCCGTGATGCAGCTGTTGTACGAAGAACAGACTCGATGACGAATTTGCTTAGCAAAAGCATTTTACTCACTTTTCACGCTCATCAAGACGTGGTTTTGTGTTCGCTGAAAGAAAAGAAAAATAAACGAGCCTTATTCTGGTTGTTCCTGCAATGCGCTATAGTCTATAGTCATTGCACGCCAATATCTTTATCGTGAGCAACAACCATTCCCTCTTTTATGCTAGCATAATATCCCGTTCTATTAAAATGTATCTGGGCACG